TCTTAATTAAGTACAAATCTCAAATCTCAAATCCATCTTCGACACAATACCAGTGTGATTCCAACAGTTTCGTATGGTCATTGTCGATACGTCTTGCCAACCTTCTGAGCACCACTTCATCGCTGTATAAATATTGACGGGGGTATACGTCTCGCCTTTGTAAAACAGAGACAGTGTCCATGATGGCTCTGTGGCTGCCTTCCTGCACAATGTTTGCTTATTGGCGAGATTCAACGTAGAATAGGCGGACGGGCGACGTGCCATGGCCTTTTGCGACAAAATTAAAATGAGCTGTTGTATGGTGAAGTGATTGAGCTGATACATCGTGGCGGAAGTGCGGCGTTTCATCCCTCCTTGAGGTTATTTGGTCCAAAGGAGATGGGCTACTCATTTGCGCAATGCATGTGGCCCAATCATTAGATTGTGCAGGTTATTAAGCCATACCGGGGCCGAAACTGTAGTCGTCATCTAATTTGTGCGTACATTCCGGTTCGTTCAGTATACTGAACAGGGCCGTTCAGTATACAGAATTCACTCAGTATACTCGTACAGTTATCTTAATCATAGAGATTCCTGATGTGGTTTATAAACAGCCAATCATCGACCAGAAAGATTGACAACGTGCACAACTACGATTTTCCTCCAGCCATGCGTGCCCCTGCCTGCGGCTCCCTGCATATCCTCTCTTCTCGCCTTCTACCTCCCCCCTCGCTTAGCCCCATTAGCAGCCGCACGTCTGCCCAGAAGCACCATATTCGCCGGTTAATATCGACGTCCAGTATGTTCAGCTCCTCCGCATCTTCCAGCGGGTACGAGGCGTTCGGCTCGTTTCACACGCCGTCCACCTCCTCCTTATTCGGCCAAGACGATGCGGAATCAGACCCTCCAGTGGTATGGGAATCCAATGTAGCGTCGCAGCGCCTGCAGCTCCAGACCAATTCGGTGGCCGACGCTTCAAACCGCTCGCTGTTTGCATTGAACCTCCAAAAGTGGACATACCTCAACCACGGTGCATTTGGGGCTCCCACAAAGGTGGCAATTGAGGCTGCAGCCCGTTGGAGGGCGCAGGCGGACGCGCAGCCGCTGAATTTCAATGATCGAGAGCTGTTCCCACTGGTCGTGCGAGCCATCAAAGCTTTCGCTGGCTTCGTTGGCGTCTCTAAGCCGGAAACCTTAGTCCTACTACCCAACGCATCTGCCGGACTGCATTCCGTGCTTGCATCGCTGTTAAGAGGAGAAAAGGAGAAGACAGTGGTGCTCTTCAGCACAAGGTACGGCGCTGTAAGGAAGATGCTGCAAGCGATTGAAGGTGGGAGTGGAGTATATGTACATGAAGAACCGCTGGCTTTAGTTTACATGCCACCACACACTATCAGCGTAGAACACTGCAGAATCCCGCAAACACTCTTCACACGCTCGGTGCTAAGTCTTTCACATCCGAATATACGTATAGCAGCCATGCGCTTCACACGATTGCTCAACCGGCTCTTATATCGAGTCGGGCACTGTCGGTCATCATTCGGATGTATTAATAGTTGGGGACCGTGAGCCTGGCTCTTTCACATGAATCGGGCGAAATAACGAGTGCTCAAAATAAAAGATGGCCTTCTGTATTTCATTTACCTGTAATTGTAAACTTTATTAATATCTAATGTTTTTTGTGCTCCGTACTTACTGGTAGGGCTCTGGCGACGAGCTGCCGAAAAAGTTCCACATTGTCGTGGATACGACAGCTGCAATTTAACCAATGGATCAGGGTGTAATTGCATGGCTTAAGAGGCGCGTTCGGCAAGAGTGTGGTGAGGAGGCGGTATGGAAACTGTGCTGCGAAGAAGGCCCTTTCTTGATTGAAACATCGGACGCTGTCAGGCGGTGCTTGTACATTAAAGCCTGTTGGAGGCACGCTGGTCTTTATGTCGATAGGTCTCAGATTAGTGACATCGTTAACCCCTCGGTTACCAGAAATCGAGTGTCGAATCAGCTTAATTTACGTCGTAACTTTCGACTTCATTTTATTATAAATGTTTGTATTGATGTGCCTTTCCCACGTCAAGATGCACTGGATTCCCGCTATAAACTATTACTGGTTTTTCTGGGCTACGTCGTCAGAGTTACGACTTTGGATCCGCGTCATATCCTAGCAAACCAACACTTACGACTTACAAGCCGCTCTTTGTCGATATCAGATGTTTTCTTGCACATCAATCCTGCTTCTGATCCAACAAAACATGAGCTATGAAAGTCGTTACGATGTCCTTTGAACAACAGAACATGGACTACGATAACGAAAGCTGATGTGCAGTGCAACGAGCTCATACGTTTGCTGATTGCTGAGCAGGCTGTTCATCTTTAATTGTCAGCTTCGCCGGCTTCGTGACCGAGCAGCTCACGACGTGTTGGCTTGCGTGTGCCAATCTTGCCCGATCACCGCAGAACGACCCGCTTACAAGCGATGTTGGAAAAGAGGCTCCGCTGTCAAAGTCCTCATGCCATATTGGGTAACACGTCTTGCGCACACCGCCGTACAAATGTCGCGACTTAGGACAAAGGAAGCACTTCGCATCAGTCTGGAGGCAGTCTTCGCAGAAGTAGGTTGTCTGGAACGATTTTTTGCGGTCGCCACGGAGGAGAGCACATACTTTGCAGGAACCTTGCCTTCGCTTTTGAACACCTGAAACAACGACCCAGCCATCGAACAGGACGTATTTGTGCCCATTCAACCGAGGCCGTTTGCGACAGCGAATCATAAGTGAAGGTGTCGGGGCAGTGGATTCCTCAAAGTCTTCGGCTTTAAGTCGATGAAACGTCCTATGTTTACTCGCGACGGGTGGATCAAGAACTTTATACGGGGATATGGACTCCGCCATCCTGCTGCTTGAACCTATGCTCGTCTATGTGATACGTTCTTGCTACAATTGGGGCCAAAACGACGATAGCAGCCGGGTTACGTCTCCGGTCGAATACATTCAATGTCAATCGGTCGGGGTTGATAGGTGCAGTGTAATGACCCCTTTTCCCATCTTCAATAAGCGGAGTAGCGGCAAACGCTCGACCCTGCTGCTTGTGCCTATGATCGTCTATGTGATACGTTCTCGCTACAATTGGGGCCAAAACGACGTCAGCAGCCGGGTTACGTCTCCGGACAAATACATTCAATGCCAACAGGTCGGGGTTGATAGGTGCAGTGTAATGATCCCTTTTCGCTTCTTCAATAAGCGGAGTAGCGGCAAACGCTCGACCCTGCTGCTTGTACCTACGATCGTCTACGTGATACGGCTTGCTACGATTGGAGCCGAAACCACGTCAGCGCCCGGGTTACGTGTCCGGACAAATATATTCAATGCCAACAGGTCGGGTTTGATAGGTGCAGTGTAATGACCCCTTTTCGCACCTCAAATATGCGGATTAGCGGCAAAAGCCAACCCTGCTGCTTTTGTCTATGATCGTCCATGTGATACGGTCTCGCTACAATTGGGGCCAAAACGACGTCAGCAGCCGGGTTACGTCTCCGGTCGAATACATTCAATGTCAACAGGTCGGGGTTGATAGGTGCAGTGTAATGACCCCTTTTCGCACCACAAATATGCGAATTAGCGGCAAAAGCCAACCCTGCTGCTTTTGTCTATGATCGTTTATGTGATACGTTCTTGCTACAATTGGGGCCAAAACGACGTCAGAAGCCGGGTTACGTCTCCGGTCGAATACATTCAATGCCAACAGGTCGGGGTTGATAGGTGCAGTGTAATGATCCCTTTTCGCTTCTTCAATAAGCGGAGTAGCGGCAAACGCTCGACCCTGCTGCTTGTACCTACGATCGTCTACGTGATACGTTATTGCTACAATTGGGGCCAAAACGACGTCAGCAGCCGGGTTACGTCTCCGGTCGAATACATTCAATGTCAACAGGTCGGGGTTGATAGGTGCAGTGTAATGACCCCTTTTCGCATCTTCAATAAGCGGAGTAGCGGCAAACGCTCGACCCTGCTGCTTGTGCCTATGATCGTCTATGTGATACGTTCTTGCTACAATTGGGGCCAAAACGACGTCAGCAGCCGGGTTACGTCTCCGGTCGAATACATTCAATGTCAACAGGTCGGGGTTGATAGGTGCAGTGTAATGGCCCCTTTTCGCACCTCAAATATGCGGAGTAGCGGCAAACGCTCGACCCTGCTGCTTGTACCTATGCTCGTCTATGTGATACGTTCTCGCTACAATTGGGGCCAAAACGACGTCAGCAGCCGGGTTACGTCTCCGGTCGAATACATTCAATGTCAACAGGTCGGGGTTGATAGGTGCAGTGTAATGACCCCTTTTCCCATCTTCAATAAGCGGAGTAGCGGCAAACGCTCGACCCTGCTGCTTGTGCCTATGATCGTCTATGTGATACGTTCTCGCTACAATTGTGGCCAAAACGACGTCAGCAGCCGGGTTACGTCTCCGGACAAATACATTCAATGTCAACAGGTCGGGGTTGATAGGTGCAGTGTAATGACCCCTTTTTCCCATCTCCAATAAGCGGAGTAGCGGCAAACGCTCGACCCTACTGTTTGTGCCTATGATCGTGTATGTGATACGTTCTCGCTACAATTGGGGCCAAAACGACGTCAGCAGCCGGGTTACGTCTCCGGTCGAACACATTCAATGTCAACAGGTCGGGGTTGATAGGTGCAGTGTAATGACCCCTTTTCGCATCTTCAATAAGCGGATTAGCGGCAAAAGCTCGACCCTGCTGTTTTGTCTATGATCGTCTATGTGATACGATCTTGCTACGATTGGAGCCGAACCCACGTCAGCAGCCGGGTTACGTCTCCGGTCGAATACATTCAATGTCAACAGGTCGGGGTTGATAGGTGCAGTGTAATGACCCCTTTTCGCACCTCAAATATGCGGATTAGCGGCAAACGCTCGACCCTGCTGCTTGTGCCTATGATTGTCTATGTGATACGTTCTTGCTACAATTGGGGCCAAAACGACGTCAGCAGCCGGGTTACGTCTCCGGTCGAATACATTCAATGTCAACAGGTCGGGGTTGATAGGTGCAGTGTAATGACCCCTTTTCGCATCTTCAATAAGCGGAGTAGCGGCAAACGCTCGACCCTGCTGCTTGTGCCTATGATCGTCTATGTGATACGTTCTTGCTACAATTGGGGCCAAAACGACGTCAGCAGCCGGGTTACGTCTCCGGTCGAATACATTCAATGTCAACAGGTCGGGGTTGATAGGTGCAGTGTAATGACCCCATTTCGCATCTTCAATAAGCGGAGTAGCGGCAAACGCTCGACTCTGCTGCATGTGCCTATGCTCGTCTATGTGATACGTCCTTGCTACAATGGGGCCGAGAACGACTCGAGAAGCCAGGTTACGTCTCCGGGCGAATACATTCAATGTCACACAGGCTGGCCTGATAGGTGCGAGTGTAATGACCACTTTTTCGCTCTTCCAATAGACAGAGTAGGAGGAGAGTTTCACCCTCGCGCTTGGGCTCATGTACGGGTGTGTGTAAGGTAGTGCTACCATTTGGGTCGAACAACCTCAGCAGACGGGGTTAGATTTCGGGCGAAGTACATCCAATGGTAACAAGTTGTGGGTGATTTGTGCGCGTCAAGAGCCCCTTTTCCCTCTCTC